AGTTTTATTCATTTGAGAAGAAACTACAAATTGAGTTGCAGAATATTTGTCTTGAAAGAAGGCTCAGGATTGTTATTCCTGGCAATTGTGAAAATGTACTAGTCTGCTTCTGGATTTTCTGAATGCTTGCATATCTTTGCCAATGAATTTTACCAGAGGTCTATGTTTGTTCTACATTATTTAAAAGAAATGTAAAAAAAGAGCACCAATGTTTGGTGCTTTTTTCAATTTTTTCATAAATCAAGCCCAATGTAATATCCTGAAGTGAAAAAGTAATTACTTTTCTATTTCAGTTAAAGGGATATTAGAAGAAATTCTGGATCTGATCTGAGCTGGGTTTTCCAAACAGGACAATTGCTAGAAACAGAGGTGAAGCTTATTTGAAAACATGACAGAGTCACATCAATCAAAGGTGGCCATGAATCTTAGTTTTGAAGTGCTCCAAGACAACAATTGCATAGATGCAATCTCCATGAATGAATGAAAAACAAATGTATGATTTTGGAAAGGTCAAGTCAGTTTTGACTTAAATTCCATAGAAACGTTGTGGCAGGAGATGAAACTATTAGTTAATGCTGAAAAATTGTCTAATAAGTTTATTAAACTAGTCAAAATGAGTTAAATGAGTTTTCTATGGAAGAATGAGTCCAAATTCCTGTACAACAATATGAGATACTAAACAATCTTAGGAAGTATTTGAGGATAGTTATTATAGCTACAAATTAGAACTAATTATTGAATCTTAAGGGGAAAATTATTTTTTTTCATTGGCATATCACATTAGATGAGCTTATGAAGTAAATGGAACAAACACAAATATGGTATTTCTTGTTCACTCATACTTCAGTAGAATCCGCATGAATCTTTGATTATATTCTGTGGCCAAAGTGTGCAAAAATAGAGAATATCCACAAAGGGGTGAGATATTCTAGTACACTGCTAAACCAAAGTTTGTAGTCTTGGAATTGAAAATGGAAACCAAGTCAACGAGAGACAAAACTATTTTGATCAGCTGACTGACTAGTCTAAATTCTCCTTCAAATTGAGGACATGATGAAAACCTTCTGTGGATCTTTGTCATGCACATCCCTACTTACCCTGATATGCCGATTCTCTGGCTCTCTTCATTTTCCTTGGTATTGTAAAACAACCACTGGAGACTGGCAGTGGGTAATTTTTGATATTAATTTCCCATCTTTGTAGTCTCACTCAAAGAAGGAATCTTATCAAGGTCAGAGACCATAGCATTTTGTGGTTAAATATCGAGAGCATCTAAGCTATTGGTTTCATTTTGCAGATAAAATTGAGAAAGAAATACTGAATTTGTTGCTTAATTAATTAAATATGAGATTTTTAAAGGCAAATTATCTTGGCAAATAAATCATCAATTTTTTTCCATAATGATTCTTACAATTTAAAATTGAGTTTGCTTTAATCCTGAGCAATTAATTGGACAAGTTCTAAAAACAGAAATATATTAGAAAAATCTACAGACAAATCAGCCATCAGCAGACACAGAAACAACATCTATATACCATTCAAATGAGACAATCAAAAAGGAAACAAAAAACCAGTAAACACCTCACCAACAATCAACATCCAAATGAAGAGCGATTAATGCCAAGATTAACACTAAAACAGCAATCAAAAAGCAAACAATATCCCTGTTAAGAAATTATCAGCTCATAAACTAACAGTAAGCAATAGTCCAATCAAACTGTCAACTCCACTCCCACTAACACAGAGTAAGCCATTAGTATATAAATTGAGAACAAAACCTACTACTACCTATCTCCCTACTAGCAGTAATGATGTTAATCAAGTTTCATAATGAAACATCTGCAAGAAAACAACCAAGTTCAAAGACAACCAAGGACGCCACAAAAATGTATCTAGAAATAAAATTTGGTCAAAAACATTTTATATGTCATTTCATTATTCTAGTAAGATCAATTACATTCTCTTCAAAAAAAAAAAGAAAGAAAAAAAAAGAAAAAAGAAATAGGGGAACAGTTGTATTAATTAATGCTTTAATTTTATACAATCATCCTTTCAATTGTTTCTGTTAATAATTATCATTAGTATTTGGATTTAACAGAAGCTACTTGAGAAATGCTATGACTTATCAATATCAAGGCTATTAATTTACAATGTGATATTCTAAAACCATGTTATTATTTATTTTATTGCCTTTAATTAATTACAAAAACGTGCTTTAATAAAAAGTCTGACATGTTTTTTTCACTTTTTTGCTAAAACTATCTTTTTTATTGTATATGTTTGATAATGATTATCTCTTGCTTATAAAGTTTAAAATGCATTCCTTCAATAGGGCACAACTGTCCTACTGTTTGAATAACTTGTTTTCACACAGTAAATCCAAAATATAGTTTCAGCACCATCTTGTGGACAGATCACTACAAAATAATTTAGGTTGCAGTATATTGTGGTTTCTAGGTAATCCTTGATTTACAACCATTTGTTTAGTGACCGTTCAAAGTTACAACGGCACTGAAAAAAGTGACTTATGACCTTTTTTCACAGCTACAATTGTAGCATCCCCAGTCACGTGACCGAATCCTTGGCAACTGGTTCACACAAATGTCCCGAGGTTATCTGATCACCTTTTGCAATCTTCTGACAAGCTAAGTCAATGGAGAAACCAGATTCACTTAGCAACTATGTTACTAACTAAACAACTGCAGTGATTCACTTAACAACAGTGTCAAGGAAGGCATAATTCATTTAACAACTATCTCACTTAGGAACAGAAATTTTGGATTCAATTGTGATCATAAGTCAAGCAATACCTATATTGAATTAATTGCACATCATTACAAATAATTACAAGCATTATAGGAAAAAACAGTTGATGCCTACTAAAAAAGATAAACAGCTTATTTGCTTTACTTGAGCTTGCTATAACAGAAGGGAAAAGATAGCACTGAAATATTGCATCTGGTACTAAATGCTATGATTTAAGCACAAGTATTCTGATTAAGTTCAGAAAACAATGGTAAACATGATAATTGGAGACTAGAAGATAATATGTTTTACCACTTTTCAAATGTTTGAAAGACTGTCTCAAACATAAAACACTTCTGTTCCATAAGTAAATAAATACAATCAAAAGAAAAGAGAATTTGGTTAAAGAGAGTAAATGGATTATCTCTTTATTTCACAAGTAAACAAGGAATGGGCATCTATTAGTGATATTGTCATGGATTTCCTTAATGGCTGGCAATAGTAATGCTAGATATAACTATCTTGCTGAAGTAAATTTGGCTGTGATGAGTTGCAGACTCCTTGGCAACCTGCTGTTCATCGCCATGAGTTTTTCTCATTGTTATTTTACTTCTACCACCTGAAAGAACTACACAGTTAACCTTTTCTTTGGACTAAAAAAAAAAATCTAATCTTTTTATACAATAGCAATACAATATTAATTCCTATGCAAAATCATTTCTCAGGAAAATATTGCTTGTCACAAATGAAGACAAATATATGTGTCCCAGGATAACATTGTTTTTCTTTATCCAGAGTTTGGGGGGGGGGGTAGATTTTAAAATGACATTCTTTTCCCCTTGAGGGAAGTTTCACTGTGTAAATTTCCTTGAACTAGATTCAGCTCAGAGGTCTTTCTGCTCCTAGCTGACTCAGTAAATGTGGGAAGGGCTTTTCCTGTAACTTCAAAGGCATATATTATTTTGCCCTCCCATTCTACAATAAATCTTTTGATGTCTATGGAAATTCTTAGTCATCCAGGTCACAGTTATCCCAAAGATGCTTTTTTTTCGTGAGGCAACTAGACTTTTGATAAAATTATGCCCTCTTTCTCTGTTTAGATATGGATACAAGTGGCAATCAGCAAAGAAAAATATATTTTTCCCCACCTGGTAACAGACTTTCTTTCATGCATTGTTCAGCAGTTTCCTTTCCCAAGTGCAGTTCTTCAACTCCCAACAGCTTTGAAAGATAAATAAAAAGGGTTGATAGCACAAGTTTTTAAAATGTATATCTAGTGATGGTTTTCATTAAATGCCCACATTTAAAGTGCACCAACAGAAATGCAATAAAGTTTCAGTGATTCAAATTCATCATATTTAAATTAGGGGTCATTAGGAAAAGTTCTTAGGAAAAGTTTAACAATGTGGCTTTGTTTAAATGTCTCATATCTAAACAAGTATTTTAAAAATAAGCATAAATGATCCTTGATAATCAGATGTCTATTAGGAGAAAATAATATTGAAACTTGCTGTAAGATTTGCTTGTACTAAAGATTTAATTATAATGTATGATTAAAAACCAGAAGGCAACACAGAGCTCATCCATAAGTTGGCACATATACTGATAGAGGTGCAGTCCAAATTCAAATGGCAGTCCAAATTCAAATGGCAACCAGTACTACCCCAAGGCAGCAGGAACACATGCACATATTGTGACACATCCATTACTATCCCTGCCACTGCATTCTGGACAAGTTACAGCTTCGGGATGGCCTTTAAGGGCAGCCCCATGTAGAGCACTTTGCAGTAATCCAATCTAGAGGTGACCATCTGAAGTGCTGTGTAGCAAAGTCCTTCAATTACTTGTCAGTTTTGTTAGTAAGTGCCAGCATTCTCTGACTCTTCTGGCGTCTTACTCCTAAGTATCACCAGTAAAAGATTTTTCGTCTTTTGTATGCTGAGCTGGCCGGGGAATTCTGGGATTTGAAGTCCACACATCTTCAAGATACCAAGGTGGAGAAATCTTATTTCTACAGAAAGGTCTTTTCCTGACAGCACATGCTGAAACGGTCGGCGATCCGACACATAAAGCCATTTGATCTATACTTCCTATTTCTCTAATCCGATTATGAATTTCCGCCTATAATTCTTCAAATGAGCGACCTTCCGGCCGCGCTGGCCTACGCACCCATCTTAGTTCTCCACCCAGCACCCCGCGCTGCCTCCACTATACCGGTCATTCTCGCCTTCCCCTCCCATCTCCGACTGCTTCCGGGGGCGGCGCTACTTCGGTCATTACGGAAAATGGCTGGCCGCTGAGGCTTTGTGGAGGCGCCGCTATTCCCACGATTAGGGCCCGCTCTAGTCGGGGCGGCTGCTTGGACTTTGCTGAGCGCGGCCTTGCTGGCGAGATGGCGGCCGAGATCCACTCGCGGCCTCAAAGCAGCCGGCCGGTCCTGCTGAGCAAGATCGAGGGGCATCAGGACGCCGTCAGTGCTGCGCTCGTTATCCCCAAAGAGGACGGCATCATTACTGCCAGCGAGGACAGGTGGGGAAGTGGCAGTGGGGGAAAAGAGGCTTTCCGGAGAGGGTCACGCGGGGTCGGCCGCCGCTTCTTTCCCTTTCTTTTCTCCGAGGACCGGGCGCTGGGAAAGACGCGCTGCGCTCGGCATAACGACAACAATAAGAACAACAACAACTCAGTCATGTGCAAATGTTAAGATCCCTTAGCTGTTTTGCAAACGGGTCTTTGCCTTCCCTTTCTTGCGAAACGGTATGCGACACACCCCCTTCTGGGGGGGATGGCCCATCCCTCTTAGCCATTGCTCCCCTTCCCATGGGTGGACTACCAGTCCCATCATTCTCGCTCAGGAGCATGTTGGCTGAGTGGGGATTGGGGTTTACCAGGCATAATTGGTTAGGCAAGAGGAAAAAGCAGAGAAGGGTGGTTTTCTTAGACAATTGGAAACACGTTCAGGGCCGTAATTTAATTGTTTCTACCTCTTTCTATTCGTGCAGTCAGAAACCCAGAGCAAAGTTGGTCTGTGGGCGCCTATTATAAATGGGAGTGAACTAATACAACTTCTTGTTTGCCATCTTCCCCAAAGAGAAGAAGTTGGACTATAACTTTTACTATTCCCAGGCAGTCTTACTTGATGGTACTCAACTGTGTGAAGTATATTTTTAGTACAATTTGCAAAATTTTGAAAAACATTGGTATTGCAGATTGATATCACATACCGGTAGTATGCCAACTTTTTCCAAAATGTTGAAAACGTTCCATATGCATATTTTTTTCTCTTCAACATTGATCATGGGAAGAAAATACTAAAAAATAACACTGCAGTCTGAAGTTTGTTTTTTCCAGATTACTGCATAATCTGAAGTAAACTCTGCAGTGAAAATATGCTGACAAAGTTATTCATAATACTTAGAATGATACCAACTGGATTTTGCTTTATAATTAATTATATTCCTTATTTCTGATTCTTGAATTGGAAAAGTTCTATTTTTATTAGAACTCCACCTCATAAGAAGAGATGTTTAATCTTTTTTCTCAGCCATGATTTTATTGTGCAGCTGTGTTTATTTAAGCAAAATTTTATTTTGATTTAGAAGGGGCAGATTATAAACAGACATGTCTTGGAATGCTTGTTAAAGTCATCTTACTCCAAGCAAAATGTATGTTTAGAATACTCTCTTCTGTAAGATATAGGCATCTTATAACAATATCCTTTGACACTGATTTGGATAGCTATTAAAAACAACTTGTTTAATTTGTATGCAGAATACTTCAAGTTTATATTATCTGCAAAATTGTTCTTTAGATGTTTCTTTGAATGGTTCTTAAATATCTGCATTTGATATTCTCAATAAAGTTACAATTTTAAAGCAGCTAATAGAGTATTAATCTTTATAGAGAAACTATCCTGTAAATTTCTTAAATAATTGGATAATGATCTTTTTCCTCAGATCAAAGGGTTAATTGTTAATAGTTCACAAGAGCCTTCAGGGAATACTGCATGGGTTGCATTAATTACATTGAAGCTAGAGGAATAATGTGTATTTTTTTTCACTGGATGAACTATACTGGTGCCCTGCTGTTTTTTATTCTCAGTTCTTCAAATAGGGATTGGAGCCATGAAAAGGTTAAATTGGTTTTATTACTAACCTGCATTGTTAAGTACTACTGAAACAGATCAAGCACTATAAGGTATAACACTACTTAAGGGTCCCCCTCCCAGCACATATATCATTTCATTTGTCAGCTGAATGCTAAGGTGTAATAATCACTATGTGTCAGGTTAACTACTAGTTCATCTATTTATAAACCTTTTAGAAGTTTATCTTTCAAAACGATCTTTGTAGCTTAGTATGGTCTTTCTGGGCAAGTGAACTTTCTGTTTTTATTATTGCTTTGATTCTTTTAGTTTCTGTATACAGTGAGAGCAATGCAAAAAGAAAAAGAAAAGAAAAGTAAACCTGTAGCATTCCAGAAGATAATAGATTACAGCTCACAGCATTCCTCACCATTGATCACACTGGTTGGGGCTGTTGGGAAATCAAGGTTTAGAATATCATAATTGCCAAACCCTGACATGGAATATTAGGAATTTTATCTGTCTGTGCCCTTATACTAGAGAAACAGAAGTGACAGCTCAAATGTTCTACAACCCTGTGTGTTCCTCTTATCTGCCCAAAGTTTGAGATAACCTCATACATAACAATTAATAGAATTTCCTGGTGTGAGCAAGAGTTGATTGCAAAAACATCATTTATCCCTTTTTCCCCCTTGCATTACAATATGTCATGTATTTTGTATTATATTGACTGTACTCACCTCTCAATTGCTTGTGTGAGATGAGTGGCTATATAAATTTAAATGAATAAGGTGGGATTTAGTATTTGCAATGTTATCTCTTATAAGAAATATTAATATTCTAATGGATGCTATACATATTAAAAAATTACTTTTCAAGCCATTTGGTATCAGAATACTGCAAATCTTTTGACCTGAGTAATATACTGCAGGGATAAGAAGAATTACAACAGATCATGCCTGATTTGTTCTACCTTCTGTTGATAGTTCTTAGATGTCTGTGACAGCAAGTGTTGATTTTTTTAACAATAAATGCTGGTTAAATAAGCCTATTTAGTATTAGCATGTAAAAGATGCATCTGATCCACTTGAGGAGAACTAAATAGACCAACTGTGATAATTTCCCTAATCTTTCCCCCCATATTTATATTTACAGGACAATTAGAGTATGGCTGAAGAGAGATAGTGGACAGTATTGGCCCAGCATCTACCATACAATGTCATGTAAGTACACTCAGATTCAGGTATGTTGATATCAGTCTCTAATATGAATTAGGAGCAGAATTTTTATGATTTCACATTTGGTTATATAAAATCATTTCTTTGCTTTGATAGACAGAAATTCAATTCACTGTAATACTGACTTTACAAATCAACATTTCTTTGGGCAGCTCCTTGTTCAACTATGGCTTATCATCATGACAGTAGACGAATATTTGTAGGCCAAGATAACGGAGCCATTATGGTAAGCATTCATTTTTAGATGACTGTACATTTAACTGCTGCTAAAAATATTTGCATTGCACATCAATATCTAGGATTCATCAGTCCTAAGCTTTCAATGCAAATCTGCACAAATAAACTTTGATAAATCATTGTTCAAGAACATTTTTTGAGGTCCCGCAATAACCCATTATGGAATACCATGCTGATTTTGTATAAATTAATTTGATGGCATCAGTTGATCTGGGGCTAATTTATTTGGCCTTGGTTTTCTGTTTAATGAAACATCTGTGAAGTTTTCCAATAAAATCTAGACAATAGTTTTCTTTGAGGTGAATGCAGTTTCTAGTAATTTCATGTTCATATTTATGTATTAATATTGTAATATTTATAAGGCCTTCTTGGATGTTTTCTTAATTTCCTAATAGTGTTTACAGTCTAATATTTGTGATTTCCCATCCAGACACTTATCAAGTACAACTCTACTTAGCTTTGTAATATCAGCCAAAGTCAGCTTGATGTCAAGTCTGTCCTATAAAGAGCAGTGTGATCTCTCATGTATCAGTTATTGTGCTGTGGGAGGCTAACAGGAAAAGAGTTAGATTAGAATTTTTTTCTTTGACATCTATTTCTGAAAATGGAAAGAATTTAAACTTCCTGTTATTATCAATATGTTGAACATGGTAGATTTTTCTTTTTTGTACTTGGGCATCCATCTCTTTTTAGGAATAGAAGTACAAAAGCTTCTACTTCCCATTGCAGGTATTTTTAATGAAACAGTGTCCAAATTGTATCTTTATCTCATTTTCTGGTGAGAAGTATGAGATGCTTATATAATGTTTGTTTTAATTTGGTAAGCTATGGAAAGCAGTCGTATTTACAAGAAACATAAACTTGGCTTTGCAGAAGGGAAAAAGAAAAGATTGTATTTTAGACCAGGAATAATACAGTTATTATCAGGTACATTTCTTTATACCTTTGAGGTCTTTCCTGACTTTCATGGTGAAAACTAAAGTTCATAGTTAGAAAAAATATGAAATGAACCTGTTTGTGAAGTCAGAATGCAGGCAAAGGAATATTCTCCAAAGTTCTGAGATGAATACATCTAAAGAGCAAAGCTAATATGTTCAGAAAAAGCAAAAAGTTCTAACTTAGCCTAAGAGGTAGTCATTTCTTCTGCAGGTATATTTTTTTAAAAAAGTGACATTTCAGCATATGATTTTAGACATGCTTCAGAAATTTGTGGGAGCGCATCCCATATTAACTGAAGAACAAAAGTGTCTTAACTATTCCTCATTATGAAGTCACAATTTCAATGGATAAAATGTTTCCTATACAACTTTTGTTTCTTTTAATAGTTTATTCCTGTTCCAGTTTTTCAAAGCATAAAACATCTTTAGAGTAAAATCTTACGCATTCCTGACTGGAAATAAACTTTATTGATTGCAGTGAAACTTTTCTTTATAAAAGTGTAGAGGTTTTCAGCGTCAAAGTAAAAAAATATGAATAAATATTGCTATTTTAATATAAAGGCCTTTCAGACATATTTAGAGGATAGAACCATAGCATCCAGATACTGTGAAATACACTGTAGTCTTCTTTCCAAAAAGTATCCCAGAAATATCTGCCAGAACACGTTTTTATCCAGTAGCCATGCCCATCTCTGTTTCTAAATGAAAGAAGTGTAAACTTGGACATTTTAATTGCAAGCTGACAGAATCTGTTAATCATTCAATAGGAGTCAGTGGTTCCCACATTTCTGTTTGTTTTGGGTTATGAGGTTATTTTTTTCTACCATCAACAGGATTTCTAGATCATGTATCTTACTGTTTGTTTATGATTTCAGGAATTTCATATTTCAGAAGACTTTAATAAGATGAATTTTGTCAAGACTTATCCAGGTAATGAGACAGTGAAATATCCCTGCACATACAAGTAGCCTTCAATAATTTATATGGAATGTTGACTTAATTTTAATTCACATAGATAATATTATTTTCATAAAATAAGTATTAAGCATATATATATGTGTGTGTGTGTATGTGTGTGTATATGCAATTCCCTTTATGGCTTCACCTGAAAGGAAATGCATTCCAGAACATTATTTTGTTTCCCGTAGAAATAGTAGTAGTAATAGTAATAGTAGTAGTATGTACATGTGTGTATGTGCATGCACACACACACAGGAAAACCAAAATATTAGAACAATATGTTGCTACATTCGTAAGAAACTTTTAACTGAACTGCCAACACAGTGTAAGAGGATTCTGTTTGCAACTAAGCCATGGATAAGAATGTGGCCTTGACATAAGCCTGATATTAAAATAACACGACAGCTTTATAGAAAAAGTATTGGCTTTTCCCAAAACAAGACTTCTATTATTTCAAACTAATTTTATAATGTCTCTCTTTTTCATCATGTTATTCTCATTTCTTCTCATTTCTTTCACAGTGTGGTATATTTACAGTTAGGAATATATTTTAGTTCGCATCTAGACTTCTCTTTTGCATTAATGAAAGGTAATGTTTTATTTCCGTTTGAAGAAAATGAGTAGTGAGAAAAAATTAAATGAATGGCTGGAAAATACCCAAGAGAAACAAACCTAGGCTTGATCATATCCATTCCATTTCATGTATAAATATTTTTGTCTCTGTGTTATAATTTCTTGTCTGTCTGTACAGCTCACCAGAACAGAGTGTCAGCAATCATTTTTTGCTTGGAAGCAGAATGGGTGATTAGCACTGGCCACGATAAATCTGTCAGTTGGATGTGTACCAGAAGTGGAAATATGTTGGGAAGACACTATTTCACTTCCTGGGCATCTTGCCTACAGTATCCTTCAAAGTAGTTGTATCATAGCAGATGTGTAATTTCTTAAAGTTTGTTTAATCAGTCTTAATATTTCCCACATCTGTATTTTATGCTGTGTTGGTTCTATCAAGAAACTAATCACCTTTAAAAGTTTTTGCTATTACTGTAAATTGTAAAAGTATTATAAAAATGTTACCGTATTTTCTGGCATGTACAACTCGGCGTATAAGACAACCCCCAATTTCAGAGAAATTTGCATGCTTAGAAAGTCGTCTTATATGCCAGAAACTACCGTATTTTCCGGCGTATAAGATGACTCGGCATATAAGATGATCCCCGACTTTGGAGACAATTTGCATGCTTTAGAAAGTCATCTTATACGCCGGAAAATACGGTACTTGGTGTGTTACCATAAGGAAATGCTGGAATTTGAGACTAATACATTATTTGCCACTTAAGTCAAATAGGTGGTTGGTGATACCTTTATCAAATGATTTTGAGGAGAAGAATGCTTTCTATTGACTAGCCAACATTTCTTACTATTTCACATCCATTTTATTTAAAGAAATGGATAGATAAGATCAGAGAACAGTTGTTCCTGATTCTACCCAGTCATCTTTATTTCTCAGCCCTAGCTGCTTTTGCAGAAAACAGCTGAAGAGAATTAATTTTAGAAGACAAAGAAGAGTCTTCCTTTGAAATGATTGAATAATATAACGTCTAGTCTAGGAAGTTGGAAACCTGTTTGTTGGGTATTACATACTGGCTGTAGTTATTTTAATGAGTTATTTCAGTTGTATATACATTTATTTGTAACCATAGGTTTAGCAAAATTAGTGTAATGCTTTTTCTCCAGCATGATTGGATGGAGAATCCACTAGTGGGTTGTCTTAATCTTTCTGCTCCAAATAAGACTAAGTCTGGAAAATTGCCACACCTCTGCTGTGCAGAACCCCCAGTTTATGACTTAGTCTCTTGCTCATCAGACGCGTGTTTTGTGCTCCCTTCCAGGATTAGCAGCAGGTTGTATCATCCCTAGTGGATTTTCCTTTCTTAATTTATTTCACAATAATATTACAGGGATTGGGGCTGAGGGTGGTCTCCTTCCCAATTTCAGGGGTTGCTGCAGGCTCTGCCTGCCGACGATCAGGGAGGGCTAGCTTCATGGACGGCAGCTGGCGTGAGCCCTCCCGTTAGTCTGAATTGAAGCAGCTGATCGGCGCCAGGTTGGAAACAACCTTAGAGGCCGCCGATCTTCCCCTCGATCCGACGGAGCAAACCGCAGCCGGAGACAAACTACCTCAGCTGATTGCTTGACGATCTCCTGAAGCCCTCGTGGCCATTGTCCATCTCCCACCTTTTTTTTATATATTGCTCCTCCCAGTTTTGTTTTATTTTTAGAACCTGTGAGCCTTTTGGCATCGCATGAAATAGTTCATAGCCAGACTCTGTTTCAGAATGATGTCAAATGCCTCCAGTTCAGGGTTACTAATCAGCTGGTTAAGGCAAGTTAAATCTGATGTGTTCCAATATGGATATACATATACATACATACATACATACATATACACACACAAACACACGCACATGCACATATGTATATGTGCCTGTACACACACACACACACACACACACACATTTAACTGAAAATATAAATATTATATATATATAATATTTTCCACTGTAGTAAAGCAAACAATATTCTCAACATGATAGAATAATGTTGACAAAAAAGGCTGGGCAACAAGCTGACTTAAGTGCATATGTTCTTGTTCTAGCCATGTTATGATCTAACCAATTTTATTTGATTTGTTTTGACTCATTGTGTATACTGATCGGCCTGTAATGCCTGTTTGGGGAACAATTTTTGGAGAACAATTTTTGGGGAACAATTTTTAAATTGCTTGTTTTTAATAATAATAGGGTTAATGCAAAAAAATAAATAAGTAAAGAATTTTTATGTAAATGCATATGCTAGGAAATTGCTTTTTCACAAAAGTTTATTAGATTTATTATCTATAAGATGACTGTAGAAGAGATGGTAACAAAATAAAAGTATAGATTTAATTACATAATCAGTAAATGTAGATTTTAGCTGAGAGTAGAGATATTCCTTACAGCTGCATCGTCACTTGTATTTCTCCTTTCAGTTCTCGTCACACTGTTTCTGCTGGTATTCCATCTCCTGCATAGCAGAACTGCTGTTACCTACAGGGGTGCAATTTGATATTTCTGTCTTTCTCTTTTTTCTTCATTGTTTACAGATGAACGTTAAGCTGGACATCTGAAAAAAATTCTATCACTAAAAAATGTGCATGTTTCAGCCCTGTTAACTGACAGTGATTTTTTAGACATCCATAATATTTTACTTACTTTCTTCAAAATAAAAGTAGACTCACTAATTCTGGCTGCATGTTACTAACTATTTTCAAGACAAATTAAAATAGATTACTTTTTATACTCAGTCTTTTGCCTTCTACTGGAACTACTGAGACTTGAAAACATACTCCTTGACTTGGGATTGTACTAAGATATGACTTTGAAACCCAGCATGCCTTTATCGGAGACTACTCTGGACAGATTACTCTATTGAAGCTAGAACAGAGCACGTGTTCAGTGATCACAACTCTCAAGGGTCATGAAGGTAATTTGTTTTCAACTGATCGAAGCTCAAATTTTTCTTTTTTATATAAAAGAAAACATTAGATACAACTTGATCTTTAATGTTGGAGTGAGATATCCACTATGTTCTCTCAGTCAAATTATTGTTGCCTCACTTTGAAATTTTGGTTAGGTTAATGAAGGCTGTTTCAAAACTTTTAGTATTTGGCAGCCATAATCCCTATATCCAGTACATTTTTCCAGTATAGGTTTGGATCAAGTGTAGCATCAGGTCCGTGACAGTGCGTTCTAATATTGAAGAGAAAGATTATCAAAAGATGGATAATGGTGGCCATACTTTCTCCATCTGATAAGTGGCTGGCATAGCTCACACTGATCAAGGCAGTTGCCTCTTTATAATATCAAATCTTCATTCCAAATGGGTTACACATCATTCCAGTGCTTAAACATGGAAGATTTATAAAACTTTCAAAACTGCAGTATTTCCTCATAATTATTGAAATTGTTAGTTCTTGTGGGCTGCCATGAGGAAATATAGCTTGACATTTTAATTAAGTATGCTAATTAGTTATTTGATCATTTTTTAAAAAAATATTTTAAAAGCAGTAAAATAAATCTAACCAAGTCTAAAATGAGTGTTTTATTGAATAACTTCAGTAAAATCCTAACATACATAAATGTATTGATATTAAAATATTTTACATTTTAAATGTTTGCATAAAATAAAGCAATAAATTAGCTGTCCTGTAAATTAGGCATACAATCTTGAATCTTTAAAAAAATTCTTACTAGATTTTATGCACTTGTCTTCCAAGGTAGGCAGTTAATTTTGAATTACAACGAATGTTCTTTTGAATGAAGGCAAATATAGATGTGCTAAGATAATGTATCAGAATCCAATGTGGGTTGGTCACTGGGACCAGAGGTTTAGTCTTCCAACTTTTGGACTCATGCTGGAGCCCATCCTCAGGGAACTTCTTTCTACCATTCTGGTAACTTGTTTCTATCAGAATGGTAAAGAAAAGTTACCAGAATGGTAGAGAGAAGCTCCCTGAGGATGGGCTCCAGCATGAGTCCAAAAGCTCAGAAGACTAAACCTCTGGTCCCAGTGACTGACCCAATTGGATCCTGTATGTTCTTTAAATTTTAGAATATATACTATTTTTAAATACTATTGTGTCTAATGTTTTAATGTGTTTTATGCTATAATATTTTACCCAGTAATCGTTAAAACAAAGTTTTCAGATACGTTTGTTAAATGTTGAGTAATATTTCAATGACCTTCCAACCATTGGATAACTTATAAATTTGAGACATGGACTTTATTCCTACTTCATACCTCTCAAGATTATTCAAATTAGGTTATTCATTATTATTTTTTGGCATTTATCTTCTAAAATTCATCCTCAGTCTGATTGTGACTTTAAATGGATTGTATCTTATACAATTATTATTTTTACTTAATTCAACAAATTGGATTTTCCCCATTTTATGAGCCTCTTCGACACATTTAGCACATACTATAATTTTTAGTAGCATTTCAGAAAATTACAAGGCAAATAAACCAAATACTGTTTTAAAACATAGCAAAACTTTGACCTGGAGGTGAATGAGCTTTCTTGTTTTTTATCAAGACTCCATTGTGTCTTGAGCAATCTTTAAAAGCAATCCCATGTTAGCAGTAATGAAGTCTGGATGTAATAAATGTATAAATAATGAAGAGTAGATCTGAATCCAGTCAAGATCATATCATGATTATCAAACTGAAACAGAACACCCAACCTATTCCTAGTACTGATGTTCTCATACAAATCAAAATCAGGAAGAAATTCAACTAAGAAATTCTTTTAGAAGTAGTATAATCCCAGCCAGAACTGGTTCCAACTAGTACTAGTATCTATGTCTGAATTAAATTTTACTTTCCTACAATTGTGTAAATATTTTTTATTAGTTTCTCTGAAAATAGTGGGTAGAAACAAGATCAGATTTGTTTATCCCCATACTGATGACACTGTAACTAAGCCCATTGTGTGACTTCATCATTTGCAAATGGCTGCTAAAAACTTACACAACCCTGTGAACTTCCATCTTCTTTGAAAAGTTCATTACCATATTCAAACATTGATCCAAAACATTTGATTACTTAGATTATTCATATACAATTGAAAAACATTTTCTCCTCCAAAAACAATTTCCACATAAATTTTTATTCAGTTACCTGTCCATTTTATCTTTGCTAACCTAACTGAGTCCCTCTTACAGTTCCCTACATTTTTTTTAATGCGGGCTAACCCACTTCGGCCCAATATAAAACAGTTTGTTCCCACTGGTTTTCTCCAGGGTCACATGTTCTGCAACACACAAATACTTACCTTCTGTACATATATACATACGCGGGGGGGGGGGAGATTTGTATTTTGCTTCACTATAAACCTTAATATTATTTTTAATATTTTGTCAGTGTATTATGCAAATCCAGCCAATTATAGTTTATTTAGGAACTATGTTTGGTGGTGTGGTGGTGCAGTGGTTAGAATGCAGTACTGCAGGCTACTCCTCACAGTTCGATTCTCACCAGCTCAAGGTTGACTCAGCCTTCTATCCTTCCGAGGTCGGTAAAATGAGGACCCAGATTGTTGGGGGCAATAGGCTGACTCTGTAAACTGCTTAAAGAGGGCTGTACAGCACGGTGAAGCGGTATATAAGTCTATGTTTGTCAAGCCATATCTTGGTGTGTATGTGAATCTAGCCTCAGAACATTTACTTATTTTACTTATTTTTCCCTACAGTCAGAAACTTGGGTCTTTCAATTATCACTCTGTAGTGATTTTTTTTTTTAAGTTCTACACTTTAGTGGGGTAGCAAAGTTTTCCTTGAAGCTGCAGTTTTAAGATAGCAGGCAACTAGAGCCTTTATGCAATTGTCTATGGAGATTCTCAGTCATCTAGGTCATGGGTATCCCAAAAGTGCTTTTTCAGGAGGCAACTGGACTTTCTTGTTTTTTCTTCGAAGAGGTTTTGCTTCTCATCCAAGATGCTTCTTCAGCTCTGACTGGATCCTTCCATTTCCCACCATCTAGTCAGAGCTGAAGAAGCTTCTTGGATAAGAAGAGAAACGTCTTCAAAGAAAAAACAAGGAAGTCCAGTTGCCTCCTGAAAAAGTACCTTGGGACCTTTATGGAATTGTTCATCCAGAGAAAGAGAAAAAAAAAAAGTTTAATGACATAAAAGATCCTTACAGGGGATATATGAGCTGGAGTTAAATCATGTAATTCTAAGTAATGTTTGGCTGTATGATTATTGAGATAACCACTCAAAAATTTACAGAACTAAATTTGTGCCAGGAATATTAATATTAATAATAATACCAGAAAATATAAACCAATTTTAAACTGTAATTTTTAATTAAAAAGTTAAATGTCCAAATAAAGCCAAGACTATTCTCCCTTATTTCAGAGTACAGAACACAAAATAATGATTTAAATCACAGGAAGGCAAATTTTGCTTGAATATCAGAAAAATGTATTTATAGTAAGAGCAGTTTGATTTCAGAATCACCTATTAAGTGAAGTGGTGGGATATGTTCAAATGAAGTTAGATAGCATCTGTCTAGGATGCCTTACTTTGGATTCCTGTACTGAATGGGTCCAGTGGCTCAAATAATCTCTTGTAGTTTAATTATCATTTCATTTCATTCTAAATACTTCTTGTGCTTTGAAAGATTTAAACACTAGATGTCAGACTTTCAAATGTTGAGTCTCAGTCAGTTTTCATGATAACTGATGTATTAGGTAGTAAGCAGTATCAGCTTTGAATTCACCCAATTTTTACTGTATTATTAAAGACTAAATAAAGATATTTGCTAATTTCTGGGACTATTACTTCTTAAGACCATCACATAACACAGGAAGAAATTTACAAAGGATTCAGAAAATCTTTGGCATTCTTAAAATGATTTCTTCCCTATCTCGCCTTTAACATCCTTTCTATTGTTTTCTTTTATTCATCTAATGAATTTTATTCATCTTTATCAGATTTTTATTGCCATGTAGTGGCATTACCTTGTTAGGGCAGTTAACTTTTTCTGTTCAGATAGGATGAGCCATACTTAGCACAAATGGGTTGCAGAAGATTCGACTAGGCAATCTACCAGTAAAATGCCATTCAGATACAGCTTTTGTTGCCAAATGTTGAGACACAACTATCCCATACTGTGTTGCTGATTACCTGTTTTTCCTCTAAGGAATACACAGTGCTTTATTTATAGTTGCTATGTGCATTTTTATCCATTTCAGTTACATTGAGGAAAAAATTATTTGATCCCCTGCTGTTTTTGTACATTTGCCCACTAACAAAAAAATGATCGGTCTATAATTTTAATGGTAGGTTTATTTAACAGTGAAAGACAGAATAACAAACAAAACAAAACAAAAAAATCCAGAAAAAAACATTTTAAAAAAGTTATAAATTGATTTGCATTTTAATGAGTGAAATAAGTATTTGATCCCCTATCAATCAGCAAGATTTCTGGTTCCCAGGTATCTTTTATACAGGTAATGAGCTTAGATTAGAGAGCACTCTCTTAAAGGGAGTGTTCCTAATCTCAGTTTGTTACCTGTATAAAAGACATCTGTCCATAGAATCAATCAATCAGATCCCAAACTCTCCACCATGGCCAAGACCAAAGAGCTGTCCAAGGATGTCATGGACAAGATTGTAGACCTACACAAGGCTGGAATGGGCTACAAGATTATCACCAAGCAGCTTGGTGAGAAGGTAACAACAGTTGGTGCAATTATTTACAAATGTAAATGCTCAAGAAAGCCCATGTACGGGCCCATCTGAAGTTTGCCAGTGAACATCTGAATGATTCAGAAGAGGACTGATGAAAGTGTTGTGGTCAGATGAGACCAAAATCGAGCTCTTTGGCATCAACTCAACTCGCCATGTTTGGAGGAGGATAAATGTTGCCTGTGACCCCAAGAATACTATCCCCACCATCAAACATGTTATTCTGTCTCTCAATGTTAAAATAAACCTACCATTAAAATAACAGACTGGTCATTTCTTTTGTCAGTGGGCAAATCAGCAGAGGATCAAATAATTTTTTCCCTCATTGTAAACCTGGGATGTGCAAATCAGGATCATATATAACTTTCAAAATTCCTGGTACTACTGGCTATATGTTTTGAGGTGAGAGTCATGTGGCATTCTAATGTAAGCACTAATATAGATTTTACTTTATTTAGATAATGTAAGTGTACCCTTAACTTAAGAAACTCCCCAGTTTTTGAGTTTTCCCACATATGTCACAATCTTTTTAAAATGTTTTTATAGATGAATATAGTTTTATTTGGCTTATAGAGATCTAGCTTGCTTAAAATATATTCATTTAAAACTATCCTATCTATCTATCCATCCATCCATCCATCATCCATCCATCCATCCATCCTTATACCTTGCTTTTTTCCATGAGGCATAAGGTAGTTTATGTGGGTCTCCAGTTAATGTTCATAACAATTATGTAGGGTAGATTTCAGCAAATTTAAATAACTTCTGAATAATTTAATAAACACTAAGGATTTTAAAGTGGAGTTTTCTTTATCTTAATTTGGCTCTTTAACCAACATAGCACTCACTTCACATTCTTCAGTTTATTAAAAAAGATAAGGGAAGGAATGAAGCTTTGATAAGGTGAGCATTAATCTTGCATATGAAGGTACACTTCAACTTCCACCATCATGAATACCTTGTTTCAGTTGAAATGGATTGAGATAAATTGTATTTTGTATCCTGTATTTTAGTTGATTTTAAGATATGGTCAGGAAGTAAACAATTTTTCCCATGACATTTAATTTGTAATTCAAAGATGCTAAAATAGTTTAAGTTTAGCAGCTGAAGAACATTGAGATCTCTGTTTTCTGTGAAGATTTCATTTAAAAAATGTCCCAAGGTAAAAACACAATTTCAACATAGACTTTTTTTTAATCAGGATGGGGGGGGGGAGAATCTCCACTTTGTTGTACAGTTCGGTAAATGCTCTATCGTGCTTTCAATAAAAATAAAAGAGAGATTGCCATAGGATTTCTATTTGTACATACTCATCTAGAAAGTGTACATTGTCAACATTGCACCCTTCTCCTCTCCCCACCTTCACCCCATATATATAGGAAGTATTTCTTCTTTGTGGTGGGATCCTGTTCAGCGATTACTCTTCTCTGGAGCGTCTGATAATAGCATAATCATGTGGGACATTGGTGGAAGAAGAGGTCGGACCCTGCTTCTTCAAGGTCATCAGTATGTAGCCATTTTGTTTCCTAGCGTGTATTAATGCTGATTAGCTTTTGGTGTTACATAGGAATAAAGGGTTTTATTTGGTTCTATTTTCTGTCAGCCACAATCAACTAAAATTTTTGTATAGTGCTGTTTCTGAATGTGTATTGCAGTATGTTATTTTGATATTCTTCAAAAGCACATGGAGTTTGGGATAAAGATTTAAAATCCGATGCTTTAAATCTTTCTGTTTGTTTCCTAGTTTTATCCAGCTGTATCTTACACCTTAGTGCAGACACATAGCATGCTGACAGAAGAGCAGGAGACACATGCAAATAAATTGCAGTGGTCCAGAAGAATGGATTTCTTCTGCAATTAACAAGGCAGTTGCTGATAGAAGATACAGAAAACTTGTTCCCCAAGTGTCAATAAAGACTCTTGCTTCATTAGAGTCTTCTATCATTAAGGAACAGTGCAGTGCTAATGACTGTCCCCAGGCTCCCCAAAAAGACTAAATTCTTGGAAGTTCTGTTTATGCAAAACCCTTCTTTTACAAAACACATTGTCACTATTTAATAAATACTTCATTCTTGCAAATATAACAGTACTTTAACAAACATTTAAGATATGTAGCCACTTAATATTTTTTCTTGAGTATGAATAAACAGTATCTCCACTAAACAGCAGGAAAAAGAATGATTATTTTCTTTGTTGTCTACAATGGACACTGTTTTGTAATGTGGGTTTCCTAGGAGTGACATGGGGTTATTACTTTTGATTCCAAATTGCCATTGTCTTCAGTTCAAAATACTTTATCGAAAATTGTAGAATTTGAGCCAACATCTGCTTTTACTGGATAATTTAACAGCTGAAATTTGTACAAAGAATTACAAAAATGTATTCTTCAAAAAGCTATTCTATCCTTTAGTACCTGTTTATAATTAACCCTGGAACATCTGGAAAGATGACAGCAATATTTTTTTTTAACCTGGCTTTTCCCCAGTGTGCTAGACTATACCTTCTATAACTATTGGCCATTCTGACTTGAGTTCCTGGAGTTTATAATTGATATTTTGGGAAGCAATATGTTTGGAAAGATGATTGTACATGTAAAGCTGCAATCTATGTAATATAAAACTGTCATGCAAATTAATATTTTTTTTTAAAATCCAGGTATATGCAGTTTGATATTTTAAAATGTTCTTAGCAAGCATTCCCCCCCAAAAACCACCCAAGATTTGAATGGTTTCAAGTCAAACATGGAAAATACCTATGTTACATATCTTTATCACCTAGCTGGTTTTTTTTTCTTAACAGTGACAAGGTGCAGGCCCTCTGTTACCTCCAGCTCACACGACAACTGATTTCTTGTTCAGCAGATGGAGGGATCACAGTCTGGAATATGGATGTTAGTAGAGAAGAGGTAGGAACAAAAATAAAAGTTTTTTTTTCATATTGAAAGGACAGATGATCAGCTAATATTCCCTAATTATAGCATTCCTGTATTCTGTTACCTCACAGCTAATCAGTCAAATTTAGCAAATAGCCAGAAAAGTCATACTGGAGTGATATTTTAGAAGTGGGAGTGAAGAAAATGACTCAAGTATGCTCTCCTTTGGAATTGGAATCACCTTCTTCTAGTTGCCTTTTAAGAAGTTTTTAATGTTTAAGAAACCTTGTAATGTAATGTAAAAGATAAAATTGTGATTGTACTGAAGTATAACATTGACATATCTCTTAGTGTCTTGAATTTCTAGCATGTAGGTCAAAACATGGGTTGCATGCTGTAAAAAATACAATATACAATCCTGCATACTTGTCATCATCCCATTAATAGAAACATTTGAGAAATGTTGGTATCTGGAAAGAACAACCCTAGCTTTCTATACTAAATAAAATTTTAAACAAGAAAAATATTAAAAGTTGTAGTGCCATCACACTATTTAGGTTAGTCTTCAAGGCCAGAATAGTACTGAAGATGCGGTTTAGTGAGGTCACCATTGTGTTAGTTTATGGTAACCAAAAATCAGAAGGAGCCTTATTTCAGACTAACATATTTTATTCAAAGACATAAGCTATAACTCCCTTAATTAGAAACACTGTGTATATTTAATGAAATTTGTAACAGCTTGTGGAATCTTATGTCTTTGAATAGCATTTGTTAGTTAGATTACCAAGCATTCAAAAATGTTTGCTGGCTGCACCTGTCATTTCAGTTGCCCAGCCATTTTTCCATACATAAAAAATGTCTATTGAAAAAATAATTGGTTACGCTACTTTGGAAGAATTTATTTATAAGACAATAAATTATGGAAAATCCTAGTCTTTACATGATTTTCCAAAAGCTCTGTTCACAGTGAGACGAAGAATGGAAACCAGCCCTTATAATGGTTTGATTTTAGAAAATCTCAGCTTTTCAGTTATCCAGAACTTTTTCTTAATCATCCACATTGAAAAATGGAAGCCCTTAACCTCCTACAGGAAGCTAATTGTTGAAGTGTAACAAAAGCATATTTCTCATTAACGTGGTGAAGTGAAAACTGCGTCATACCAAGTTAAGTGTAGGAGGCATCTGAGAGGCAGCTTGAGTGACCTCATCTACACCATTTAAGACTATATTGCACTAATTATATCTGAGAGGAAGCAACTTTTATAACACATCCTTGCTTTCAAGGACACTGCTGTAGTAGCCCTTATCTGTGAACTGTAGACTTTTATCTATTTCTAATTGTATCTGAACAAATAAAAAAGGTTATACTTTAATTCTGCTTACATTTTTAAAGCTGGGGAGTATTTTTTATTTTTTCGAAATGGCATATTTAAGTATGTTTTTGTCATCTTTTTTTTTCCAGGCCCCACAGTGGTTAGAAAGTGATTCCTGTCAGAAATGTGAGCAGCCGTTTTTTTGGAATATAAAGCAGATGTGGGATACAAAGACCCTGGGTCTGAGGCAGGTAAGAAGCCAGCAGTGTTTTATTTATAACAGTATGAAAGCTAAAGAAGTTAATTAGGATGTCTCTTTGAATTAGTTTCTGGTTCCTGTGCATACTTCCTTCTCATCTTCCATGACCTTTCAGCAGCAACATAGCTCTTCTGGATTTTAAGTTAACCTTTTCCCAACCTAGAGTTCACTAGATGTATTGGAAATGTACTTTTCAGAATTCCCAGCAAGTAGGGCTTCATCATGCTAGTGGACGCACTAAAAACTGCACTCCTGAGTGAACTAAATTAGGTAGAATTGTCTTGAAGTCTTTCTTTATGCATCTGAGCACAAATTAGTGTTCTGCATTAGATTTGTCTAGATCAGGTTATGTGCAAATTAAAATGTTCATTATGATTTTGCTTATTAATTGAGATTTTTATCTGGGACAGATTTAGACTGCTGTTTTTAGGAGATTAACTGGGATAGGCCTACAGAGATAGTAGGCTTCTTTGATGAATGCAACGGTGAACTCATTGGCTGAAAACATGAGAAATTTATTGCTTTATTCTTAATATTTGGATTAATTTGGAATATATTTCTGATTGCTTCTCATTTTCATTTCCATTATCCAGCATCACTGTAGAAAATGTGGTCAAGCAGTATGTGGCAAATGCAGCACGAAACGCTCCAGCTATCCTATAATGGGCTTTGAATTCCAAGTCCGGGTTTGTGACTCTTGTTTTGAGTCTGTCAAAGATGAAGAGTGAGTACTATAGCTTAGAGGACTCTGACTTACTGCCCTTTAGTTTTAAGTCTGAGATTTGAGGCCAAAATAATATATATGTTAGATAAGAACTATAGATATCCTTCCTTTCATAAGGTTTTTTTAATTCATTTTCTTTAAAGTTAATGTATGCAGGAAATAAAATTGGCTTCAAAGACTTAGGTTTTAATTTCTGCTAATTCATTTCTAGTAATATATCCAATACTATTATAATACAACAAAGGAAAAATAGGTTTTCTTAATTTCTTTCCAAGAACTAATATTTATTTGTAAAGATAGTTCTAGAGAAATATCATACACGAAACATACTATAGTAAGAGTCATCTCCATTCACAATGATATCTTACCAAGGTTGTTTGGAATAACCGGGTTTTAATGGCTTTTTAGACAGTTAATAGGGAGAACACCAGTTATAGTAAGGAAATGGTTGGGATACTTTCCCAAAGAATGGAAGATGTAATTGAAAAGTCTTGTTCCCTGTCTGTAGATGAAAATCCTTTAGGTTTTCTCCCAGTTTTTACTGGACAGGCAGAAACCATTACAAATAGCTGGTCTGAAGTTATTTAAGTCCCAAACCATGTAAGAGCTTATAAATAACAATCAGCAGCTTGAACTGCTTTCAGTTCATTAATCAGTTCAAATCCTGTAGAAAAATGAAATGCCCTTTTTTCCCAAAAAAGGGAGCTGATCCAATCAGGTCTTAGTTTCTAGGAACAAATCCAAAATTTGACAATATACTAACCCTAATGCAGGGATTATCAGAAACAAAATATGTTTTTTAAAAAGTTATTCCTGTCATTTCTGATTAGCAAAAGGGTAGGATGGGAATTTTATCAAGTTGAGATCATAAAACATTGCATAATTTCTACTTCACTCAGTTACAAATGTTTAATCTTCAATATTATTTTGAAGTTATAATATACATACGTATTTTTCAGAATTCCATTAATTACATTCAAGCGTGCTTTGGATAAGCATACATAAATCCAAACTATATTTTTCTCTTCATTTTTGCAAAGGTGTTTTACCATTTAAATAGCTGGCTTGCAGTAGAAGTTCAAAGAAAAAGGTGAAGGAATTCACCTCCATTGAATGCCCTCTTCTTGCCTTCATTTTAGTTTTTTATTGTAGTTCTTCCAGTAGTTTTAGTGTTCACATACTTTGCACATTTTTTCACAGTGAGTCTTTTAGACTCCAGCCTGAATCAGCTTTCATTGTTTCGGTCTTACTTTTTTATCCTTTCATGCTTTGACATATTTGTATTGATGGCTAAAACAAGCATTCTCCTATATCAGGAGGGAGATATTTTTGATAAGCTCTTTACAAATTATCTGTTATAACCTCTTGCAAGCTTCTGTTCTTTTTCTGGCAATCCTCTAGGAGGAAAATAGCAGAGAGAAAGAAAGAGGGGACAGAGCAGAAAGAGAGAAATGATCAAAGTTCATGGCATCATTGAAACTGCAGGAGAACTCATTATAAATATTAGCTACCAGATTATCATTTGTTAAATAAATAGACAATGAGTCAAGAAGCTTGAAGTTTCCATTCATCAGTCAAGATGTACGTGCTATTTACTTTGCCTTGACCCACCCTAGGTGTAGTCCCAAATCCTTGAGCCCTTCAATGATTTCTCATGAAATCTATACCTAGTTTATGTTCTAGATATTACTTGCCATTCTTTCATGGTTGCTGTGTGCCTTACTTCCTGCCTATTAACTTTCAGCCTAGTAATTTGGGTCTAGAGTTTGATTTTTAATTAACTATTAGGCAAAATTATGATTTTGGCCTAGTTTTGTTTTTAATGTGGGTGCCTTCAAGTTAGTTTTGACTCCTGGCAACTGTTTGAACATGTCCATGCAGTTTTTGTGGCAACATTTTCAGAAATGGTTTTCCATTGGCTTCTTATTCTGTAGCTCCCTTTTTTCCCCCTTCTGTACAATTATGTCCAATTTTCAGAGTCTGCCTTGACAGATCCCTGCAGTTCTCTTGGCAAGGTTTTTCAGAAATGATTTGTCATTGCCTAGGACTGAAATAGCTGGCTTCATACCCAAGGCAGGACTACAACTCCAGTCTTCCAGTTTCTAGTTGATGTCTTGACCACTACACCAAACCGGATTTTGTACTTTAGCTAGCATTTGGTATATTTTACTCTGGCACTTAGAAATAGGGAGGCTGTTTCTTCAGGCCCCCCCCCCCAGAAATAGGGAGGCATTTCTCTCTTTCTGCTCTGTCCCCTCTTTCTCTCTGCTATTTTCCTCCTAGAGGCTTCAGCCGTCAAACTTCTTTTGGTCTGTGTAGCATTTGAACCTTAATTTCCCAAGCTCCAGTTTGAATTCCCGATTGAGTAATACTGGTTCCATTTCGCCATCTTTTTTTTTTTTTTTTTTACTTTTAAGCTATGTTGCTGTTTGCAGTTTGTGGTGGCACAATTAGCTATGATAACATAAATCTTCCTTCACCCCATGTTGCCTCACTGTCATCCCATATGTAAATAGCCTTAAGATGTCATTAAGTGGTCTGGTTTCTCCCTTGAGCTAATATTGTTCCTCTATATTATCAAGTCAAATAAAATCTGTAATGCTTTGTCACACATTATCTTGGAGGTAAGGTCATCGGACCTGTTATGAGTATCAGGGGAAGTATGTTATGTGACCGTTGGACATGTATACCCATTTCCCACTAAGTAGCCTTTAGGCAAATATTTCTCTTCCATTGTTAGCTTTTCCATTTGCATTTTGTTTCCTGAGTTCTTACATACCCGTCACCAGTAATTTTCAACATAGCTTATCTCCAAAAAAGGAATGTTTGCCACTTCCATAGTACTCTAAATTTCATTGTTACCTTTGATTACAAATATCCTTGCTTTTCCTAATCACACTTTTCAGAAAATAATGAGGGTTGGTTTTGATAGAAATTTTATTAAATTAAATTATAAATACAAATATAAAACTAATATAAGCTAAAATAGAATAAAAAATATAAAGTGCAATAAAATTGAAAATAAAAAATAAAAATGTAGTAAATAAAAATAAAATATATATATAAAGAAATGACTTCCTCCTTTATGACAGCAACTATCAACTCATCACCTTTTCATAAAATACAACAAATGATCTTTTTCCCATTCTTCCCAGAAAATAATGAGACTTGTTGAATTAGTATTGTTTTGTACCAACTCATGGATGGATAACAATATAAGTCAGATATAGAAACAGTGCAGTGCTGTATTAGGAAACATCCCGCTTAAATTAAAGGTTAAATCAGCGCTAGGAGGAAAGCATGTCGACTACCATTTTTTTCTTGTAAAACACGGTATGTTTTCCTGTCTGTGGTTATATATAACATTGTTAATTTGTTAGAAGTTTAATATCTGTCTGATTTTAAGTGAAGAACATACTTGCTTTAATTCTTCTCCATTGCTTAGTGTATTTGCCAAATTAACTGTTCTCGCTTATGAAAATACTGAATGCAGAGTTGAGCTATCTATTTCCTAAAGCAGCAGGTCAAAAGCATCCATTCCTGAAATAGAAAAATTATTGTTAATTAGATCTTCCGTGTTTGCATTATAATTTGAAATGGTGTTTTAAGTTCTTGCCTCTGTGTGTGTGTGTATTTGTGTATGTATGTATGTGTACAAGATTGCAAACATGTTGGAACAGAGCCTTTAAATATAAATCGCCTGGCATGTGGATTTGTTACTATCTTAATGTTGGGATTTGATTTTTGCTGTTGTTTTTATAAATCCTTTATTTCATGCTTGCACTGTTCAGATTCAACATGATCTTTAGTTAACTGGCTGCTTCTTCAAATATAATTATGAGGGAGTTAGGTGATTTCTAAATTTGATACATAAATAAAATAATTCAAATAATAAAATTGGTCTTGAGCTTAGCATAATTGCTTTAAAGAAGCTTTACTTTGCATAAGTGCTTTTGTATTGCTGTCTTTTGCCCCTGGATTAAATAAGATCTCAAAGGTTGCTGTTACTTAAATCCACTTTTCTCTCTCTTCCAGTCGTACCTCTTTGGCAACTTTTCATGAAGGAAAACACAACATATGCCATATGTCCATGGATATTTCAAGGGGACTTATGGTGACATGTGGAAGTGATCGTGTAGTAAAGGTAAGCTATTCTTTTGTTAATTACATAAAATACATTTCATACTAGCTGTGCTTTATCATCCTCCAGTTCTGTTTATCTGTTGTTGTTTTTTTAAGAACAGCAAATGGAGGAAAGGAAAGAGGGAGAATAATCTTTATGTTTAGGTTAGAAGGTTACATATATTCTCAAGGTGCAGCCTTGTTTATTTGGTCATTTCTAAATCCAACCACTTTCAGACTACACCCTTGTGAAAATAATTGTAAAATCTCATTTTAAAACATTTGTAAACATTAAGTATATATTTATATACATTAAGAATGCACTCATTGACCAAAGGCACAAAAATTTTGGAATTTATTAAAGAAATGGCTGGAAGAAATTTTGCTAATAGATATAGAGGCCAAACCGGAATTTTTTTTATTGGGAATTATAAAAAGAAAATATAAGAAAGATATAAATTATTTATTACTGTATATAGTAACAGTGGCACGAATAGCCTTCGCTCAAAAATGGAAAGAGAAAGATATTCCAACCGAAGAGGAAATATTACTGAAAATTTTCAATTACGCATAAATGGATAGACTTACATTGGAACTCAAGGATAAAAATGAAACTAAGTACTACAAAATCTGGGAACAATTTTATGATTGGATAGATAACAAGAGGGTAGCCAAGACAAATATATAGTGTTAGAATAAAATATAGGTTATGGACAAATGTATATTTAAAAGATAAATAAATATACAGAAATAAGGGGGAAAAGTGTTTATATGATATTATAAATAGCAAGCAAGCTCAAGAACTATATGTTTATATGAGTATTAATATTTCTGTAAAGTGACGGAAGATGTATGGAACCAGTGACGTCATATCTATGTCCGATGTGTTTTTAATTTTGTATTATTGATAAATTAATAAAAAATAAATAAATAAAAAAGAATGCACTCATTGAGTGGCATAGTGGCCTAGAGGTGAAGATGCTCACCTCACACTCAGGAGGCTGAGAGTTCAATCCTAGGCAGCAACAGATATTTTTCTATTAGGGCACAAAAAGTAAATATCTTCTGTGAATTCCACATAGTCATCAGGAAGGGCATCAAGCCAGTAAACGCTCACCTCCATCAGTTGCCACAACTCTACTCTGATAAAATGGATTTCAGGGTTGTAAAAAGAAAAAAATGCACTCATTATTATAATAAATCAAATATAATGTCTATTGACATTAAATTCCATTAAACTACTTTTTTGGAGAACATCTTAAGAAGTGGAGCAAGACTGCTAGATCCTAGAAAAACAGCAAATAGCTATTATGCTAGGTTAAATATGGTAGTTTGGCTTTTTTGTGTCGACCAGTTACCATTGATCAACATGTCTTCTATTAAATGTAAATTTATTCATAATACCTTTCCTATCTGTCAAGATCACCTTTAAAGTATATTTAATCTCCTGAAGTAACCTGTTTTTCCTTCTTAAAAATAATAAGAAAAAAGCCCCCATGATTTACTTCAAATAATTTTCTCTCAATTTCTGGAAATACAGTTTTTTCCAGTATTTTACAAAGAATGTATCCTATGTGTTCATTATTTGTATAAGATGATTTGTAGTTTTTCCTTAGAAATATTCCTAAAAACATATTTAACACATTGAAAGTCGCTCCGTGATCTGTTAGCATAAAGGAAATTCTTTTTTCTTACTTGGTATTTTTTAGTTTTGAAAGGATTAGTCTCTAAACAAGGCCTCTATCGCAATCTTGCTACTAGTTAATTAAATCCAATGTAGATTTTTTTGTGTAGTATGCAGAAGAATATGGTAATATACGGTATATTTGTAGGCAGCATCTGTAGCAGACTTCCATAATCTGATGTTTTTCAGATCAGCTGTGCTACAATTTCCATAGCCAGTAATCAAATGTACTGAATAGGACTGTAGGCATGGTAGATGTCTGGAAAGAACCATGTTGGAGAATGCTAAGATGCTATGTGGAATAATAGGATTAAAGAACTAACATATGGTGAAAAATGAATTTGCAAAATTCATGAATTAACTTTTGTATAATATGAGGGGAATCTCAGTCTGCTATTCTCAGAAACCCTTCACATTCTGACCTTTATTCCTTGGTGGAGCTATTTGTAGTTACTGCTACTACCATCTACTTCTACTAAACTGTGATGTATGGGGCAGATACGGATCCCACAACCTGACCATCTTACTGACAAGTGGCAGAAAAATAACCACAGCAGTAGTAAAGTAAAATAAACTCTGAAGCTGTATTTTGACCCTTTGATCTTTAGAATGTGTCTCTAAAAATCCTCAAAATCAACTTTATTAAAAATAAGAAAAAGGCAAGTGTTTCTGTTCAGCTTAAGGCAAGGGTGTCAAACTGCTGGCCTGTAGGCCAGATGCATCATGGTGAAACCGCACCCATCCCATTGCTGGCAATGGTAAAAAGGTCGCAATATGTCACGTGACGTTACAAGTTTGACATTCCTGGCTTAAGGTAATCATTCAAAAGCCATTAATGGTACAAGAAATAAAAATGCTAGACTCTAGACTCCAAAGGATTTACACAGCAACAATATAAAATCATGGGCAGATCCCAAGGTTGTGTGGATCAGTAAATAATTTGGGAAACACCATAGTACCATTAAATCAAGTTGTTCAAATAAACTAATTTTTCATTGAGAAATCTGAAATCAGGAAAACTAAAATCTAACACAACTAAGTAAACTTTTACCAGACTAACCGAATAACTATTCCATGAATCAGAAATTTCTAAGTCAACTTTATTTGTAATTCCTTTCTGTTTTCTGAAAATTACCAGATTTAATCTAAAACAAAAGATAATAGTTTTCCTTCTCACTACCCAGGAGATATATTTATTTCTCCTGGAGATTTTTTTCCCCCACTTTCAATAGAACACACACTTTTTTACATTTACGGGTTGAAAACAAACTCATTCTTCATGAGGGGGAAAATGTCTGAGAAAAAATGTTGATTATCTGTTTTAGAAATTTACCAGGGAGGGTTTGAAAGGGGACTTATACACAAAATCATAGTTGAGTTAAATCTTTATTAAAATAATAAAACAGAAGATGATGCAAATTTTTTTGGTTCCTAGAACCATTATCAGATATTATTTTAAAAAGCAAGAAGAGAATAAAACAAAAGCCTTAAATATTAGCTAAATGTAAAAGCCTATGAATTTTATTGCTCATATATACTCTTAAGAAAGTGTAGTAAAACATGGACTTTTATTTTATTTTATTTTTTGTAGTGGGTGAATATGGCTTTCTTGTTTTTTATAATATGAATTGCCTGCCTGCATTTGGTAAATTATACTACATTTCTAATAATTAATTTTTACTTCACTAAGTTACAAATGTTTAATCTTCAATATTATTTTGAAGTTATAATATACAAACGTATTTTTCAGAATTCCATTAATTACATTCAAGCATGCTTTGAATAAGCATACATAAATCCAAACTATATTGTTCTCTTCATTTTTGCAAAGGTGTTTTATCATTTAAATAGCTGGTTTGCACTAGTAGATCAATCAAAGAAAAAGGTGAAGGAATTCACCTTCCATTGAATGCCCTCTTCCTTCTTTCTTCTTTTTAGTTTTTTGTTGTAGTTCTTCCAGTAGTTTTAGTGTTCACATACTTTGCACATTTTTTCACAGTGAGTCTTTTAGACTCCAGCCAGAATCAAAATTACAGCTTTCATTGTTTCGGTCTTGCTTTTTATCCTTTCAGGCTTTGACATATTTGTATTGATAAGAAGGCTAAAACAAGCATTCTTCTATATCAGGAGGGAGATATTTTTGACAAGCTCTCTATTATCTGTTAAAACCTCTTGCAGGTTTATGTTCTTTTTCTGGCAACCCTCTAATGTAGAAGAAAAAGAGCAGAGAGAAAGAAAGGGGGGACAGAGCAGAAAGACAGAAATTATCAAAATTTATGGCCTCATTGAAACTTTCTAAATTTCTAATAATTAAAAGTCTTTCTGCCAAGCTTTTATAAATTTGGGAGACAGTAGAGAAAGATTCATTTAAACACATTTTGTTGGGAATTGGGGGATAGACTGCATTTATGTGGCAGCATAATAAAGCTGATGAACATTAGTGATTATCCTGTCTGCTATCACCATCAATTTTATGGCATTGGGGAATGCCAGGATTATAGATGAGCGTTCCATATTCTTCTTATGGCTTCGCTGTATCTTCTTTCCCAGTTAGGAATTTTATGAAAAACAGAGCTGTTTTAAGACATAGCATATACCTTTCATAGCTTATGAAATGCCACATTTTCTACACAACCTGGGGTTGGGATTTGACTACATGTTTCACAGATTCAATACAGATTGCCTTACAAATGAAGGCAAGTATATATGTCCCAGGATAATGTTGCAGGATCCAGTCTGGGTGGGTCACTTGAACCAAAGATTTAGTCTTCTAAGCTTTTGGACTTGTGCTGGAGTCCACACATTCTGGTGAGAGAGAGGTTCGCTGAGAATGGGGGCTCCAGCACAAGTTCGAAAGATCTGAAGACTAAACCTCTGGTCCCAGTGATCGAACCAGATTGGATCCTGCAATAGATTGCCTTTTTATTTATTAATCAGAATTTAGCTAAATACATTGCATATTGCTTATTTGCTGAGAAATTCTATTTCCTATTTTATTCTACTGTAATGGGCTATCTTTTGAGTCCTTTCTGGAAGTCTACACATGACAGAAGGTAAGATATAAATGTTTTGACATTTCCTTCAAATGGAGGATCCTTATTCCTCATTGACCTACATTTACATAACATAGCTATCACCATGCAAATATATAATAAACATAAATTTTAAAAATGCTTATTCAGAATGTAGATCATGTGTCTTTTTTTATATCTTATTTTTTAGATTTGGGACATGACACCAGTAGTGGGTTGTAGCCTTGCAACTGGATATACTTCCCGTTGATCCGGGCTTTCCAGAATAGTATACTGTATGCATCAAGTGGATATCTTCCTTTTCCTACTCCTGCCACACATGCCAGCTGCTTGACTTTGAGAATATCATTTTCCTAAGATAGACATTTTCGTTTAGGGCTTACAAAGAATGGTGGAAGTTGATGGCCTGTGGAATGAACAGTAGGAAGGTTTACATACAACAAAATATCCGGTCTAGGAAGACCACTCATAGCTTGATTTTACTTGTAGCATTCAGTGTGCTTTCTCTGCTGAAATGATATTGTACTGTGGCTAAGGGTTAAAATGAGTACAGTATACTGTAGTGACAACAAAACATGTTCAAAATAGCAGTAATATATTCTTTGTAAACTGTCCCGGTAGACTAGTTTTGTCTTATGAATAGTCACTATGAATAATGGTGCACAGACTTTGAATATAACTTTGCCAGCAGGAGGGAAAACATTTCTTTCCCAGCAGCATTGCAATAGGGGTGGGGGCATTGATAGTGTGTTTTGGACTGTTTTGTTTCTCTGTTACATTTGATGTTGTTCCAGTTTTAAATTGTCTATTGCAGAAGGGGTGGATAGATCCCTGGCAAAACACTAAAAATGGTTTCAATAATGGCTGAAGCTAAATGAGGGATTTGAATCATACTTTTTGTATGTAGTAAAATGGTACAGTTGAGGTTTGGTGAAATAGACAGTAAAGGTATGTTGAACAAAAGCCTGATTTGTGGTGTACAGGTATCAAAGTTCTCTAAAGCCAGTTCCAAATCAGATTTTTAGTTCAGTTTCAGCAATAACTACAATTGTACCAGAAAAGCTTGCATGTGGACTGCTGCAAGTAAAAATGGTAGGAATAAGCAAATTTAATAAACAGATAGATACATAATTAAGTGAAATAACGGGAAAATGTGTACATTAAAATTTGTCATTATTTTTGAAAAGTACTTTTGTTATAGTATAGAGTTTTAAAGAGAAATGGTAGGTTGCGGTTCTTTTCATTTTGAAGGTTAAATTGTATTACTAAATGTACCTTTATAAAATCTGGTGTAGAATCAACATCAATGAAGTTAAATAATTGCTAATTAAAACCGATGGGAAACATTTGTTTCAAAGTGTTGCACAAATAGACTGTTCAATCTGTCCTCCAATTAAAACTATTTTTTGTATGCAAATAGTGTAATCAGCCACTTCTTTTAGGGGATATTTAAAAGTAAGTGAAGAAAAACTGCTTTTCCATCTTTCTCAAAGAAAGTTGTTTTAGGTTAATCATGAAGCTATATCATCATGTTAAAATGTAAGCCCCAAAGAATTCTTTTTTAAAAAAAAAGTCTTCATTAGGGCAATACATATGAGGAAGGGAATTATATAACCTGAGGGATTATCCCATGGTAAATCAGTATTAGTGTTGGTAAGTCATATAAGATGGGTATAATCAATGTTATTGTTATTGAGTTATTGCTCCTAAACCTCTTTGATAATAATTTTAATGGAGGGACAGAGATCAAAATGAAAGAACCGAATATTTCAGCAATATCACTATACAAATAAGATAAATCATTAAATGATTTTGTTAGAATTATTACATTATTCTACTTACCTGCCTTATTATACTGTATAAAAAGGAGAACTTTAACCTGTTTGAATTAAACCAGAATTAATTATTTCACCTCAGTGTCCCATCTACAGTGAAATGTAAATCTGGGTTAAGAAAAGCATCACCTTACACAAAAGCATTTGTATTTTTCCTCTCTAACCCTCTTAATATTCTCTTAAACTTAGGATAACCTGCTGGTGCCAGAGAACAATATTCTCAGGTCTCAATATTTCTGCATATAGAGGAGACCGTCTACTATTTTCATCTGTTAATTGTACAAATTGCACAAAAATACACTGAAATATTTGACAGTTCCACTCAAAATTATCCATCACTATTTTGCCAGATTTGTTCCATTTGAATAATTTACTAGTTGGGAATAAGGTAGATAGCAAATATTAATATTAAAGTGGACGGTTCAAATAGATACACAAAGAAATGTTGGCAAAACATTATATTGTTTCTATATCCAATGTTGAAGTTCTTCTGATAAGATATAGAACTGTAAAAACTCTGTTGCTTGCTTTGGATATAAATTGCTTTTGTGTGTGGGGAAGAGAATAAGGATTATGCTGTACTTGGTAACAAAATTGGCCCTGTATTCTAAATGTGCAATCATTCAGATTTGACATATTTACTTTGTTTTTCCCCCTGAAACCTTTCTTCATGGGGAAACCAGAAGGACTAATGTATTTTTGTCTGATGACCCTATTCTCGTGAAACATTGTATCTTTCATTATCTGAGAAACTGTTATTACTGTTTGTTGTTCTCTTTTGTCTTAAAAAAATGAAAAAAAGCTTTGACTATTGTATAATAAAAATATTTCCTGTAAATTTTGGTTCTTTATTCATAACCTGTAGGGACTTTTCACTGTACACTGTGTGCATCAAGTGTAAGGAGTAAGGAAAAAGTAACTAAAGAAATTCAGAAATTGTAAAAATTTCCTAATTTAAGGAACTTCTGTTACTCTGGAATTTGGATGAGACTTGCAAGTTGTATGTTTAAGCAATGGCAGGAAATCAAGTCCTTCAAACTATTGGCTGGCATCTGGGATATTTCCGTGCTAGGCAATAGGAATAGCAAGCTTATCTATGCCAGAGGTTCCATATAGTAATAATAATAAAAAAGCTGATGAGGAAGAAAAATCTATAGCGGACATAGTAAATTGCAGTCATAAAGGAAAACTTCGAAGACATGCAAATTGAAACCGGCAAGTCTAGAAGCACACAACCATTATTGTGCCAATAAGACACAAGGCAGCTAGGGGATGTTTCCTCAAATAGGGAATTTGCAATACCTCTTCGTCCTGTTTTTACCATACCTTTCCCAGTTTTATTCTCTAATCACATGAAAATTATGATCACACAAGAACTTTGGAGGAGTTGTCAGAAGTCCACCCAAGGCTTTGTGAGGCCATATGCAGTCCTGTGCCTTGGATTGCATTTATCCCAATTTAAACTGACTCATTTTCATGGACAGCTGAATAAGAGTGGGAGGGATTTTTTGTATAAATTGAAAGAAGCTTTTTCATTTGTTCTGTAATTAAATGGGATATTTTATTCCAGGCAAAAAGGATTTGAGGAGGAGCAAGGGAAAAATAGCAAGAATATAAGTGACTGAGAGGAAGGCCATAGGAAGATCAGTGGCCAAAGACACAGAGAAAAGAAGGTATTTGGAAGATAGGAGTGGATTCATGGGAGTTGTCCTGCTGGGGCGTGGACAGTAATGACAACTGAGAACAGGGAAGACATTAGGAAGATGGGGGAGGGGAGAGAGAGTCATGAAATATGCTGCACTGGGAAATGTTAAGGAGACTCCAAACTACCAATGTCTAGATTTTTTTTTTCTTCACTCCAAACCCATATCAGCAAACATTCCAGGTTTGAGTTCTGCCAAACTGTAAAAGAGGCCAAACAAACTAAAAACAACAGAATCTCCAATTTTGTTTCAGGTCAGAAGCAAAGTATTTTTTCCCCAATAGATGCAGTTCCCTAATAGATATTCCTTTAACATTACTACATGGCATGTAAGAAGTGGTTGGAATTTATGGCCTGAATGCTCCCCCACCTTTATCTACTTGACTGTGAGTTTAAGTAAATAGGAAGTTTGCCTGCCACAAAGCACCAGCTCCAATGCTGTTTTTATTTTTCATAATGAATTTGGGTTCCAGAGTTATCACAGGCATTCTTAAACAAAAATAAAATTGGTGGCTGGTTGAAATTCCATGCTTTGTCTGAAAATGGGTGCAACTAGCTGAAAAGTATGTGGAGTGGGGGTAGGGAGATAAGCTAAGGTAGTTGTGAGCATTCTGTGAAATAGAGTAATCTGACAAGCTTGTTTGCTTTTTTGCATTAAGTAGCAACTATTTTAATAACCTCTCAAAGTTTCAAACATGCCCACCAGCCAAAAGGTTGCTTAGTAATGCAGAACAGTTTCAGCTATTTTTAAAATGAAAGGAATGAAAAAGAACACTTTCAAGAAGGAAATCAAGTTCAACTAGAATATCTGGAACTGCTTGGCTTTAAAAAAATAACATTTAATTTGAAGCAAAACCTTTTACCTTAACAGGCTTGGCCATGTGGCATAAGCCCAAATAAAATACAGTTGTTATTTTGCACTTATCAGATGAATTGTGCTAAGTCCACACACAAATTGAACTGGCAAACCCCTGATTGTTTATGTTATAGAGAATCATAACAGACCTTCTTGCATTTGCTAATATGTTTTTGAAATACCACTAACTGGATACCCAATGCAACAGTAAAAAATATAATATAGTTAATCACTTAGGATGATTATCTTCACAAAATGAACAAAATATAAATATATTTCAGTTTCCATCATTTCAGCAGGTTTAGGTAATAATCAAGGGACTATGGGAATTGTAACCCCAGGTTACCAGATTCCTTACTCCTACAATTTAATAGTTAAATTTCAGATTTAAAGCAATAATCAAGTGTCCATAATATATTATAGTTCTTTATTGGCAAAATCGGGACTTTTGAAATAGTGAATGTTTGTAGGATTACATTTGGAAATTTCTCAGTTATGTGCATTTTTTTTCTATGAAGCTGGTTCCAGAAATATTGGTCCCCTCTTAAAAAGTCCCCATTTTTGGAATTTGCCAACTTAACTTTTTTGACTATAACTTATGTTGCTGGATTGGGCCCCTGGGCCACCTAGACCAAGGTCTGCTGTCCTATGGCCAGCCAATTGCACAAGGAAGCTCTCTATAGTCTAGATAGTAGATAGCCTTCAGAAGCATTCACAAAGCCATAAAAACTAATAGCCTTTGATCCTCATTACCTCCAGGAATTCGTCCAGCTCTTTTATGAAGCTAGGACTAGGCTAGAACTACCAACGAGAAACTCAGGTAACAGTCTTAAAGGTTAAAGCAGGTGTACATGGGTATCAGGAAATACATCCCAGGATGCAAACTTTAAATTATCTCTCAATGTCTGGAGCAGGTACCTGCACCTGCATTTCTCTCTCCCGCTTATCCTCGCCCTGGAACTAAATCGATCCTGTAAGTTTCTCTGGTCCGAGGACTTGCTAACAGGTGTGTTCCGCCGCACAGCGCCCTGAGAGAGAAAGTGAAAACTTTCCCTTGGGGAAACTTGGCTTACGAACAGTGGCAGGCAGGCGCCGCTCGCAAAATTTCCATTCGCCGACTCGGGAGAGCGCGGAGCGTCCTCTCTCGCGAGCCCCCCAAATGCCCGTGGGGCGGTTGCCCGAGTTACACGGGAGGCTGGGCGGGAAGGAGGAGTCAAGAACTTTCAGTTTAGGGCATGATGGGAAAGCGGAGCGAGCTCTGGAAATTCACCTGTGGCGCCGGGGGGAGGGGGGAGACCCGCATCTGGCGGGAGGGGGGAGACGAACCTCCGGGGAAGCGGGTCTGCGGCAGCCATGGTGAGTGGTGGGAAGCGACGGGCGGGAGTGGGAGGAAAGAGAACCTGCTTCGGGGCTCTCAGGGCAGAGGAGGGATCTACCTGTTGAAGTCAGGTGAAGCAGCAACCTTGCGAACAGAGCGGCGGGGCGAGTAGGGCTCGAGGCTTACCTTTAACGTCCCGCAAATTCAGCAACTTCCACGGGCTATTCGGTTCGAGGCGGCTCGCTGAGATAGCGATCGGTCGCTTGGGAGGAATAAGACAAATTTTAGGGAACTTGATTCGACTATTGGTTCCTCCGATTGCTTTTCATTGCCCTTCCTGTTCCTGCTTCTTTGTAGCGCGAGGGTTAATTCAATTCCTATCTGGACGCTGCAGCCAAAATCAACAGAAGAGAAGGACGGGGGCAAAAGTCGCTTATCTTTGAAAAGCCTCTCTTTACCTGTTGCTTAGTCAATATCGGGAAGAAGAAAAAAAAAAAGAATCGTATCCGACCTCGTACAGTTTTAATTTCTTAAAATTTCCACTTTTCTTTTCATGGGGTTTAGCCCAGGAACGTTGCAAGGCACAACTTAACCCATGGCAGTATTTACTAAGTACATTTTAAGCTAAAACATATTATATTAAATTAGCTGCGTGGGATGAGCTGCATCATGCAGCACACAAAGCCAGAACTGGTTGGTGAGTTCGTTGGTTGGAGATTATGGAAGTTATATAGCAGAGGAGAGGGACATCAAAAGTTTAGGAAGGTATGGGAAAGATCAATTCTACTTTGAATCAGCAAGTGATGACCAGGTATTCAGCTAAGCCATTCATCACTTTCAACATTGGGGTGGGGATGGAGGATCATGAACATAAAAAATACCTTTTACAAGGTTGTGGCTTGTAAAAAATCATTGTCTGTGGTTCACTATATTCTTTGAACCCAAGCAGCGTACTATATTTCTGATGTCATTCAAACTAAATTTATCTCCTTTGAGAAAGTTATTAGTGTAATGCAGGGGTCTTCAAACTTGGCCCTTTTATGTCTTGTGGATTTCAACTCCCAGAATTCCTCAGCCAGCATGCCTGGTTGAGGAATTCTGGGAGTTGAAATCCACAAGTCATAAAAGGGCCAAGTTTGAAGACCCCTGTTGTAATGGATGATTGGTATGCTCCAGACATAATATACCAAGACTTTCAAATAGTCTATTTCTCTTTTATAAAATGGTAAAATAAGAGCTAGGTGACACTATTGTTAAACAGATTTGCAATTGGCTGAACGACCAATTGTAATGGTTCCACTTAATTATGGGGTTCCATGGAGCTTTGTCTTGTGCCTTCTTACATTTTTATTAGTGACTTGGATGAGGAAGCTAAATCAATGCTTAAAGAACCTAAAAGGTAGGATGGTTAATACTTAAGAGGAGGGAAGGAATTAAAAACAAAAAACTTAGACAATCTTGAGTGTGCTGAAATGAATATGATGGAACATGATTGAACAAACTTCTCCATCTGGATAGGCAAAAGTATAAGATGGGGAGACTTCATAGCAATTCATGCGAAAGGAATCTGGTTCTTACTGATTACAAATTCAATATGTACCACTAGGGTGAAATACATGCTAAAAAGGTAAATGACACTTTAGGGTGAATTTGCAGGACCTAATGTCCACGTCATGGGAAGGAACTGTCCCAACTCTGTTTTTCCTTGATCAGATCCTACTTGGAATACTGTGTCTTGTTCTGGTTAAAAAACTAGTTTGGTCTAGTGATTAAGGCGCCAGGCTAGAAAGCAAGAGACTGTAAGTTCAAGTCTTGCCTTAGCCAGCTGGATGATCTTGGGCCAGTTACTGTTTCTCAGCCCATCTCACCTCACAGGGATGTTGTTGTGGGGAAAACAGGAGGATTTGTTTTGGATGTGTTCACTGCCTGGTGTTTGTAAAAATAATAAAGGTAAGATATAAATAAACATAAAAAGGGCAATTATAAACTGGAGCAAATTTAAAAGAAAAGTATCACAATGGTGATTGATCTGAAAACCAAGCTATATAAAAATCAATTTATGGATATTTTAATATATAGAAGAGATACACAAGGAAAAATATGGTAATAGTTTTCAACTATGTGAAGGGCTGTCACTTAGAAGATAACATAGGATTTATTTTCTATTGACCCAGTGGGCAGATCCAAAATCAATGATATAAGGAGAATATTCAGGCTTCAGATGATTCCACGTATAAGCTCTTGGTCAAGGTTGTGCTTGTTTTTCTTCATTGGAAATCTTTGAACACAGATTGTATGGTCATCTATCATATAGGCTGTAATGGATTCTGCACTGAGTTGGGGGTTGAACTTGATGCTATTACTCAGCTATGAAGTGGAGAATGACAATAGGGAGTGGTTTGAGATACTTACAATGCCATTATAACGTCAACAATGACTCTACCACCAGGAAAAAGAAGAGTTTTATTTCCAAGCAAGTGAGGCTTGCCTTGACATAGTACTCCTTGTTCATTCTAGGTGGAGTTCATTCACCTAGTTCATTCACTCACCTTTGCTAGAGTTTTGTGCTATGGGATTACCGGTAATATATTAAGATGTCCAGGAATTTGTACTTCCTTAACTGATTTTATGATGTTTATTTGGTAATGTTAAGCAAAGCTTTGTTTTGCTTCTCCAGAATGGGAACAGGAAAGTTGGTAAGACGAAGTATGGAAGCAGTCAAGGAGAGAGAAAGGAAAAAAAAAAAAAAAGAAAACAGGGATGTTGAGTAAATGATAAATAAGCTCAACTCTAGTCAGTGGTCTCAACTCTTAGTCCAACTCTTGGTTAAATTCAGTTCAACTCTTCAACTAAGTCCACTCAATTGGAGAGTATTTGCCTTAAGGACAGGAAATGATGGATTTTGACCTTTGATTTGGATGTTGTAAATGTTTCAATTTACCCTTTTTAAATGGAGCTTGCTATATACAGTAGGGTTCACATACTTTGTGCAGTTAAGAAGCCCAACTCTGTCTTTTTCTGAGATAGTACAGTTGCTGTGAAAGGAAAAGACACAACGGCAGTCAGGTGTTCCATGTGCACTTCATTTCATATTTTGTTCTTCAAATTCCATTTTCTGCATAGCTGTAATAATTTTATTCTTTCATCATTTTTGGGAGAGGATGACAAAAAACTTATTTGAAATGTATATGCACACACATAAATGAATTGAACAAAACATTACTCAGATTTAAAGCTTGTGAAGAAATGAATGGCACTTACACATTGTTCAGAGGACATCTGTCAAAAGTGTTTCGGTTCTTTCTAATGAACAGTTAAAAGCTGTGAAGGGGAGCCACCCATACTGAATACAGTGAAAGGCCTGCCCAACCAGCTTGCTGGTTTTTTCAGTGTGGCAATTAAATTTGAAGAAAAAAAAAAAAGCAGTTCCACCTGAGCCAATTTTTCAATTCTAATTATATGTGTGAGAATGTATTTTTAAGAAAGGGAATTGCTGACTTTAGGATTTACTTAGATTTACTTATTAGTGTCACACATAGCATCTGGCACATAGGCAAATATTTTCATCTACTAAGTGTTTTTCCTTCTAAGCTAATTGATGAATCAATTAAAATCCTGTAGATCAGCTTTTTGTCCTAATCAGGAATTGGCCAAGCTCTGCCTGAATATGTTTGCTTTCTCCCCCAATTGAAACCCATAGCAATTTTCCTCAACTTGATTCCCTTCTGATATGATGGATTACAACATGCTTTTGGGGATATTGGAAAGATTATGGGTTGTAACTTAACACTTCTGGAAAGGATAATTTATTTAAAGCATGTTCTAATTTGAAGGCAAACCATTTTTGAATACAGAATTTCAGGGAAAAGCTGGAGAAAAAAATATTTTAATTCACCACAGGCGGTTAGGCCTAGTTTTGGTCTTTTTGCATATCAGTCTGCCTTTTGATTATTAAAATAAATTCAAATTGACAAGATTTCAAAGTCCTTAACTCTAGGGAACATATAATCTCTGTAAAAGACTAAACAGAATAAACAGCATGCCATATTTGTGGGGAAGGAGATACAGCATAATGCTAGCTGAATAAAACAAAAAGGATTAATTCTCCTAGATGTAATAATCCAGCAAAAGAAATCCCTGTATTTGTGTCTTCAACTATTTGATCCCATTTATCATATGAAACAGCTGATTATCTGAATTCTCTCTGTTGTTGTATCCATCAAGACTTTTCTATCTATCAAAACATATATTTGCAGAAAAGTTATTTTTTCCCTTCCTACCCATTAGTCTTATCAACAGTATAGTCCTTCCTCTTTTTTGATGTCATAATTGGTTTTGTTCCCAATCAAGTAGGCACTTTTATTGAAAATTTTTAATACTTAGTATTTTAATAGTAAACCCCGTGATGGCGAACCTATGGCATGCGTGCCACAGATGGCACACAGAACCCTCTCGCCATTGCCCCAGTCCTAGGCTTTCAGCTGGGTTTTATAAAACCTTTTCGCTTTAGGCCTCCACCATTGTGTGCAAAAAAATAAAAAAGGTTCAATCAATCAATCAATTTCAACTTCTTGCGGGAAAAAAAAGATCTCGCAAAGTTGGAATTGATTGATTGAACTTTTTAGTCCCACCCAGTCTGCCATTACCACCGCAAC